ACACATTTGGCATGATTTGAGATTTAAGATTTGGGACGTATTTTGAGTAATTTAATTATAATTATTTATTTATTTTCAGAGGTTAATTACTTTTATATTTATTTTAGGAAGTTTTATTATTTTTACAATTTTGAATTTTAGATCAATTAATAATTAGTCTATAAAATGGGTGCTTAAGACCCTTATTTTAGGAGTTGAATTTTGTTAATAGAAATTGAGAACTAGAGGGTTACTCCTTTATAAAAATCACAAACTTTTTGTTTAGCCACTTTTCTATGTGCCTTGGGCATCATTTGATATCAGAGCACTAGGTTGCCTTCATCCAATGGCTGAACAGAATCGTGGAGGTCGACGACGGTGGAGTCACAAGGGTAGGGAATGTGGATTCGTTCATGAAGAATATAGATAACTACGTCAGATGACCAGCGAGATATAAAAAATGAAGAGCTCAGAAGACGGATGCAGTATTTGAAGCAACAACTTGAGCAAGCGTTGGACAAGAAAATCCAAGTTTTGGAGCGACTACTTGTGCTGGCACAAAGAAAGAGAATTCAAGATTTGGAGCAACGACTCGTGCGAGTATGCATGAAAATCTAAATTTTGAAGCAAACTCTTGTGGAGGTGTAGAACATGGAAATCCAATATTTGGAGCGGCGACTTGCGTGGACAAAGTTAGGCATTCAATCTGAAGAAGGAACGGAATTAGAGGACGCATCTGATGACAAAGAAGAGTACGTCAATCCCTTGGGGATTCTAAACCAGAGACAGAATTGGGAAGTACGACCTGGAAATCAGTTCACTCTTCAAGATATCGAGATGCAAATCAACATTCCTGTCTTTGATATCCACGATCATAACACGTTTATGATGATTATCCGATTGATGATGACCATCCATCTTACGATAAAGATTCAGTTTATGATGATTATCCGATTGTTGATGATTATCTCATTTATGATGATTATCCATTTTACAATGAAGATTTAGTTTATGATAATAATCCAGTCTATGATAAATCTGATAGAGAATCAGATTATGAAGATCTAATAGATGAAGATTTATCATTTGAGTTTTTGTCTAAAGAAATATATCAGTGAATATGAAGCAGGTTCAAGGACGAATCTTTTCCTAGCAAGGGAGAATGATGCACTTATAGTTGGCCCTTTGCACATAGCCCAACCATTGAGTCAAGAAACTCAGAATCAACCAGAGTTGTGACCTAATAAGTATGGCCTAATTGTTGAAAGAAGCAATGATTTGAAATATAATAAATTACGATCAAATCCAAGTCCCAATATAGTAGCAGATATGATTTTGATTTATTTGGCAAGAAAAGGAAAGCAACACATTTGGCGTGATTTGAGATATAAGATTTGGGACGTATTTTGAATGATTTAATTGTAATTATTTATTTATTTTTAGAAGCTAATTATTGTTATATTTATTTTAGAAAGTTTTCTTATTTTTAGGATTTTAGATTTTTGAATTTTGAATCAATTTGTAATTAGTCTATAAAAGGATGCTTATGACCCTTATTCTAGGAGTTGAATTTTGTTATTTTGATAATTAGAAATTGAGAACTAGAGGGTTACTCTTTTGTGAAATCCTAACTTTCTGTTTAACCACTTTTCTATGCACTTTTGGCATTAGACTTGGTCGGGATATTAGGTCAATGGGTCATCTGTTTAATCGGTGGGTTATTGGTTCAACATCATGAATTAAATATATATGATAAAATATAATAAAATATAAAATTAAAAGCATTTTGGATACCAATTTTAATTATATTAGAGTTGGATTAGTAGTAAGTGTTATAAGTTATAATCTACATGATTTAAGTTCAAATCTCATTAGTGGTATTTTTCAAGCATTTTGTCAAAAATTACACAAAATTAATTTTTTTTAATGATGCCTGTTTAATATCGGGTCAAATGCATAACTGATCGAATACCTAAACCGGACAGGTTGAAGTCCGGTTTACCAGTCAACCGGTCGAACCGACCGGGTCAAGTCTATTTCTGTAACGCTGTTTATAACAAATGTTCTAACATTATTTTAATAGTATGAAATTCTCCCTGAAGAATGTGGTGACATAGGAGTTTTCCCTTTAAATAAATTCTTAATAGAAGATTCTCAAGAAGTTTAACATGAACAAGGCCAAGTCGGCCCGTGTTCCTTTGGACGAACATATCAAATCAAATAATAAGCAAAGTCCAACCAATGATAAGAGAAAGAAGAAATGTCAAAAGTTCCTTACCGGCCAGCAATTGGTAGTCTCATGTATGCTATAATATGCACAAGACCTGACCTTGTTTATGCATTTTGTCTTGTAAGTCGGTTCCTATTGAACCCAGTTAAGGACCATTGACTTGCTGTTAAATGGATATTCAGGTATATTCGAAGTACAGTCAACAGGTGTTTGTGCTTCCGCAGAGGAAAACCCGAGTTAGGAAGCTACTCGAATGTCGACTTAAATGGTGATATCGACTCAAGAAAAGGGCGCTATGGTTACTTGATTACTTTTGTAAGGGGAGCTATATCTTGTCAATCTAAACTCCAAAAGTGTGTTGTTCTATCCAGTATCCACCACTGAAGCCGAGTACATTGTAGCAACTGAAGCTTGCAAGGAAATGTTATGCTTGAAGAATTTTCTACATGAACTCAATTTCAATTAAAAAAGGTATATGCTAAATTGTGATAACTAGAGTGTGATACACATAGCAAAGAATACTACCTATCACTCTCGCTTAAAACATATAGAAGTGCGTTATCACTGGATTCAAGACGTGATAGAAGGAAAGCGACTGCAACTGGACAAAGTTCACTCTGATTTGAACTGGTCTTACATAATGACCAAGGTTGTTCTGTCAAGAAAGTTTAAAGACTGTCGCAAAGGTGCCGATATGATGACCCTGTCTAATTAAGTCAGAAAATGGGATATTTGTGGGAGGTTTTTCCTCCTTAATTAAAGGTAAGCTACACATGGCTCAATGTACAGATGGCTCTAGATGTGCAGAAGGCTCAAGACAACTTTGATAAAAAATTCTACACCTAGTTTGTTCCCTAATCAACTAGGCATTGAAAAATAGTCCCAGAGTTCATCTATAAATATCATAACCATACTTGTTAATCAGAAATATGTTAAGATGAAATAGGAATAATCACTTTATGTGTAACCTTTCCCTATATTCCCTACATAAATAACTATAGTAGTGTGATGATAACACTCAATAAAGCCAATATTGAATTGTAGTATATAGTAGTGTGATAATATTATCCAAAATGAGTTAATTTATCTCTGGTGGACCTCAATATGAAAATGGTTTAAACAAGCTTGAATAGTTAATTCTCTTATGTGATTATTCCGCATTACCAGAGTAATAGCAATCTTACTCTAAACGAAGACTGAGGTCGTCGATATAAAGGGAGATCAAAGGGAACATAGGGAATGCTAATATGAGACCATGAAGATACGTCACATGGCCTGCTCGAAACTACCAAATTATGAGATGTTCTGAACTATTAAATTTGAAAAAAATGTTTGTCCTTTTAAATGACACAACTTATATCATTTTACACTCACAAAGAGGTGAGATCCATACTTTTATTTTTTTATCGATATCTTTTTCTCACTTAAAATGACATAACTTTACATCCTTTAAAATGATACACATTTTTACCATTAAAATTTGAAGTATAGCTGCCAAAATAATCTTCATTTATTGAAAAGGTTCATATTGAAAATAAAAAACATGGATGCAGCTGATGAGAGCTTACATAATACAAAAAATATTACTTGCAGTGTCCTTCAAACGTAGTTACTCGTAACCTTTAGTTGGAGTTTCACTATTTGTACTGTAATGCTCTCTTTTTCCCAAAATTCTAATTATCAAAATCTTGACTTATATGAAATTGTAACAATTGAAAAGTAGAATATGTGTTGAATTTGATTAATGTCAGAGGAAAATAAATAAATTGTATAGCACTAATGAATAATGATTATTATTTGAATATAAAAGAACAACGTTCACCCAATGAGTGTAGCTTAGTTGACAACTCATGTTGAGTAGGTGGGGAGATAACTTGAGTTCGATTCTCATCAAATACATTTTTTTTTGGGAGGGGAGGAGGGTGCGAAGAGTTTCAATTATGACTAAACTCCGACTTGAGATTAGTTCCATACTCAAAGAGTTGAAGCTTGGAGGAATATCCGAGTGACCGACTTGCCTAAAAAAAGTAATTAGGTTTACTATACCCAAAAAATAGGAAAAAGAAAAGAGCAGCATTGAATTTTTTACCCAGTCAATTCTGTTAAGGGGAAAAATAAAATAATTTTCTTATCTCAATTGATTGGGTGTTGTCAGCTTGCATATTGTTGTACTACTGTAGGCAATATTGGGATTGCTTCCTTACTCTTTTTGTTTGATAGTTTTATATACTTTTTGTTAGATTTAACCTTTGTTTCATCTTCTTCTTGTGCTTTTGGTATAAAGCTTTTTAAGGGACTGGAAGCTTTTGATCGTAAACCTCGGGATATATCTATCATTCAGAAAGTGGCAAATGCATATGAGATATTAGGCTTAGTTAAAGAGAGAGAGAGGGTGCTGGAGAAATATAGCTATCTGTTCACAAAGGAAGGGGCAACCAATAAACATAGAAGGAACTCGTGTGAGGTAAAGGAGAAAGGGAAACGAGAGGAATCCAGAAAGGCCTCATCTGTGGAAAAGGAGAAATCAGGTAGTCATATGTTAAAAGTATTATGTGATCACGTCGTTATCACTCTTTATTAATGGATGACTTATTAAAAGTATTATGAACATATAATTATATGATTACTTTTAAATATCAATTTTTCTTCTTTTTTCGAAATCGCACAGTAAAGCTGACTTTATGATCATTATTCTTAACACTGAACTGTGAGCAAAGCACATCACTAACTTGGCTTAGGGTTTTTTTTTTTTTTTTTTTTTTGATAACATGGCTTAGGGTTTTTTACAACATCAGATCAGATAATTATCAAAATCCTGTTGAGCTTGCAGAACTAAGTCATCATCCTCCCACTCGTCACGGTAAGACTCAGATCGCAAGAGCCTGTTCTTAGATGTGGCCATACACATTTGCACCCTCCATTCTTCGATAGCAGGAATTCCACACTCATCCGCAATCCAGTTATTGTAATCCCACTGCAGCATTGACACAATCCAAAATATATCAGGTGCAATATAAGTACGTCTTGATGGATGATTTAGAATTTAGATAGGCATAGACAAGAAGGCACAAGCAAACAAAAAGTTGAGGAATAATAATAATAAAAAAAACCTCGGCATGGTCCATATTATGAGTATAACTCTTAGGAGTGCCAGACGCTTCAAGTGATGAGTAAAAAGCTTCAATATCTTCAACCATCTCCTCTTTTGAAGGAAGTGCAATGCGATTAGACAAAATTTCAGCTATCCACTTGCTTTGCAGTTCGAACACGGGGAAGGGAACAACCTGCCAACAATTTCATCCATGTAGTAATATTAAGCCGCTTATGAATTGAACAGCTTCGAGTTTTTGCTTCAAGGAAAGGACGACAAAGAACTATGACATGGGAAGTGGGAACAACCTTCCAAGGCAACCCAACAAATGAAAGCCATGGAGCCAACGCCGGTGGAAAAACATGCTTGTAGAGTGGTCCTACACGGTTGTCATCCACAGTCACCGCGCTGTTGGTTTCAAGGAAAGGGAAATCATACTTGTACCTGGAAAATAAACAAATGGGGCGTCAACAATTTTTCACCTTTTCTTTTGAATAATCTGCATCAGTTTTGTATCTCAATTGAAGGCGCTATGTTATGCCAAAATAAATTGGGGCCTTCAATAAAAACTGGTGGATAATGCTCAGAATACCCTGTGCAATGTACAATGAAGTCAGCACCAACTGCATTTCCATCTTTAAAAACCACTGAACCATCTTCATGAACGCTGTCAATCTGCATTTTTTAACAAATACTAGCGCTTCAGATCAACCATTCTAGGCAACAGTTGTCAAATCAATTGATGGATACTCATGATCTATCACGACACTTCCCGACACTCCAACACTGGTTGTTAAGACTCAAAAAAGGTTCAAGAGTTTGCATTTTAAGTTTCAACTATTAGATTCGTTGAATTACGATTACTAATTTATTGAGTTTAATATAAACATTTAGAATATCTTATGTTTCTTTGCAAAATTAATGGGTATTATAAGTTTAGCTTTATTTTTTTATTAAATTATTAAATATCAAATATAATATACGGTATGTAAATTAAAAATATTATATAATATTTAAAATATATCAAAATTTAATATTTTTTAAAATTAACACGTCGGATATTGTCGTATCCCCGATGTCGGGTGCAACATAGCTCGTCATTGCCATCAAATTCTCACCATGGATGATGAGTTTTACCATAGAATGAAGCCACATGTTATCATGACCAGGCATCTTTCCAAGCTTATCTTCTTCAACTGACCTAGCAGCAATGTGAACTTCTTTAGCTACTTTTGCGATGTCTCGAGATATATCAACCGCACTAGCAGCGCTGCCTATTATAACTACAACCTGCGCAAAGAAGAAACGGAAGAACTAAATCAGATCATATCAGAATGAAGACGAAATCTTGATTCCTAATTGTCTAGTTTTTCCCTTTATTTAAATATTTGCACTCGGTGCCAAGCCAATCAGTACTGTAAAAGATATAAGCTTCAAGATTTAAAATATTTTGATAAATATAATATGTGCAATATATACTTGTTATTTTGTAGACCCCTCCCATAAAATATAAAGCATCATTTTTTTTTTAAAGAAATTTCTAACTTTTAAAAACAGAACTAACCATGTAAAAGCACATACTTGATTTTGAAAGGGCTCAGGTGTCCTATAATTATGGCTATGCATCTGCTTCCCTGGCCATGCATTAATGCCTGCAAAGAGTCTAAATTATAAGATAAAACCAAACAAGATTCCGATAGAAACCGCAGTGTGTGTGAATAATGAGTGGTGAGGGGCATATAAGGAAAATAAAATAACCGGGGATATGAGCGAGACGAGGCTGAACGTAATGTCCGTTGCAAATGACGAGGGCATCGTAAATCTCATCCACACAATCACAATTGGATGGTCTTGATCTGACCGTCCATTTTCCACCGTCACCCAACCCAACAAAAACCACCTCCGTTTCAAGCCTCACCAATTCATCGATCTGAAAATCAGCAGCGAAATCCTTCAAATACATCAACACCTCTCTGTGACCTGGGAACCTTCTCGAATCTCTCCCATTCCCTTCCTTCCTTCCGAATGGGTAATCTCGGAACCCCATTAACTCTCGAGGAAGGTTCGTTCGGAGCGACTCGTACAGGCTCGAGTGGACCAACCTTCGCTTTGGGTCCAACCCAAGTGGCTCCGATTCCACCTCTGCAGTGTAGACCCACGCGCCACCTACTTGGTCTCCTCGCTCGAAAACCACCACTCGATGCCCTTCTCGTCGGAGCTCGCGTGCCGCAACTAGACCGGCGGCCCCGGCGCCGATCACTGCCACATGGCGCGACGAGAGTAGTGGGATTGCCGTTGACATAATAGCGATTGATTTGGTTGGTATGAAACTATGAATGGAGTCATGGACGATCCAGCTTTCTTCTTATAAGTGAAATGAGTCATCTTCACACAGCAAGCCACAGGGATGTATTTTTTACAGGGCAATGCATTTCTAGTGTTATTGAAGAAGAGGGAGTTTCGTACGCACTCAAATTCATGGTAAAAAATAAAAAAAATTATTGCAAGCGAAACGAACTTTCACCGACACAAAAAGAGAGTAAAGAGCTCTCCTATAAAGTGAGAATTCTTTTTCCCCTTTCTATAAGAAAAAATGTTTTATAACTGTAACTGCAAAAAAATGAACTTTTTTTATAAATGTTATTTATGTAACTTTTTTTTTAAATAATTAGACTTATTTTTAGATATTATTTACTCTTTTAAAAAGTATGTCTTACTTAACAAATACGACTTATTTGTTTTTTTATTTTTATTAAATTGATAAGTCTTGTTATAGAAATACGACTATTATTGAATAGTAAAATATTCAAATTATAGATAATTTAAATAATTAATTTGATAATTTCAAATATGGAACTCGAAAAACAAAAAGGAAGTAAATTAATCCATAACTAATATACGTCACTGTTACCAACTGTGTGGTAAGTGAAAACCGAAGGCGGGGAAATTCCATTCCCAACATTGCATGTGATATGCTTTATAAAATATTATATACAAAACGTTAACAAATTTAATATCGCAATCAAAGGTAATAAAAAAAACTTACTTAAGATCAACTAAATCTAGAGAAAATATAAATATATTAACTACAAATTATGTGAGATGATAGAACGGATTAAATCCAATGAATTAACCCACCAAAATGAGAGGAGTTGGATTATGTATTTCAATTCAACCACTCAAACCGAATAACTCACCTATATGAGAGGTGAGTCAATTTGCATGTAATTTAAAAAAAAAAAAACACACATATATTGAATATTAGATAATGAGAAAAATATTTCTGCAGTTAATGCAAATAAGTTATCTGCATTTATTTCCAAAACGACGTCATTTTGATATTAAAATATTAAAAAATTATAAATATAAAGACTATTATAACTCTGAAATAAATTAAAATTACCAAATACCATGATTTCCGTCCAAAACGATGTTGTATTGGGCTTACTGCAGATAACTTATCTGCAGTAACTGTAAAAAAAGTGAACCCTTAGATAATAGCTTGATTGGTCCATATGAATGACTATTATATGCACTGCTGTAAAACTCGGCCCGACCCGGAACCCGGTGACCCAGTCATTGGACCGGTCCGGGTCAAGCATTGGACCGGTCATGCATCGACCCGGTCAAACCCAGTCAAAACCCGGCCAAAACCGATGACCCGTTGACCAGGTCGGGTCATGCATTTTTTTAAAAACAAAAAACCAAAATTGTTTTATCTTATCAGAAAAAAAATGTAGAAGTCATTGTAAAAATATTTTATAATTTTATTTGCTAGTATACATTTTTACAATGACCTCGAATTTCAATTTTTAATACCAAAGTAATCTGTGGAATAATAAATTAAGAGAACGTGACATATGTTATTTTAGTGTAGTTGATTTTGAAAAATATGAGTTCAATGTCATTGAGAGGTATGTTTATGCGGATTCTAAGTTGCAATTTAAATTGACATAATAATAACGTGCAATTTTATTTATTTATGCTTCATATTTTTGAGCTTATTTAGTGAACTTTGTTTAATTCATTTTAGATATGAAAAATATAATTGAATTTATATGTTCATATCTATATATTTTTTAATATATCTATATATATCTGGATCAACCGGTCCAACCAGTGACCCTCCGATCCGACCAGTTACCCAGTACCCTGACCGGATCGATGCTCGGATCGAATTTAATAACACTGATCATACGAGACAAAATATATTTTTGTAGGATTATAATGTTATTATATTACTACAAATATTATTTTTTATTCGCTTTTGATTTAGATCAACACAAAAAATAAAAGAGCTTAAGTTTATTTTTGGATTTAGTATCTATAATCAAATTGATGCTTATGAAATTCTAGTTACATGATGTAATGATATGTTTTTTATTTTTTTGGTCTAGTGTAATTATATGTTTATTTGCAAATATTTATATGTTTGGTGTCATTATTTTTTTATATAATTACACTGAAATTGTTAATTAATCTTAAGATATTATTTGTATAGTTATGTTAAATGTAATTATTGGTTTAAATCATTACTTTTTCTTTAACTTATTGCATGATTTTTTTTTAGACACGAGAAATATTAGATGTTAGAAATTGGAAATAAACCTAAGTGTGGTGGCTCAGTTGATAGCATGGGGATTGAGTGGTGGAGAGGACCTCGGTTCGAATCCCACCAACACTATCTGGAGAAGGGTATAAGTACCGTAATCCTTGGACTAACACCAGAACTCTGAATTAGTCCCATAGGCGGCTCAAAGAGTCGAACCTGTGGGAATACCGGAGGATTCTGATTCGCCTCAAAGAAGTAATTAGGATCAGTTTCCAAAAAAAAGAAAAGAAATTGGAAATAAAAAATTAACATTAATATATTTGGGTATTTTTTAATATTTTATTTTTAGATAGATTGAACCCACCTCAAAAAATTAATATTTTCAAGCCACAAGTTCGTCCCGCCCCATTTTTTGTTGGTTAAAGGTAAAATGTATTGGCATGTTTTGCCATCTCTTTGTAAGAACTGAATAATTTATTCAAATTTCAATAATGTTAGGATATAAAATAAATAAATTAACTAGGTTTCGATAGAAAATGAAATGTTGTAACTTGATTACAAATATTAATAATTTTATGTCATAAAAGAATAATAAAATTTCAATAAAAAGGTTATATAAATCTAAATAAAGTGGCTTACTTTCATATTTAGCCTTAGCCTCTTCATATATTTAACTAGCCCGAATTTCAATTCATATTTAGTATAAAAATATTATGCCCGTTAAGCGAAAACACAAGACAAATTTTCAAATGAAAACACAAGAGTGGATGACAGAAAAATTCTTTAGGGGAGCGTTTGGTTGAGGAAATTTTTTTATGAATGATAGAGAAATGAGATTAGTAGGGAAATGTTGGGAAGTGAGATTGGTAGGAAAATGTAAAAAAGTTGTTTGGTAGGAAAAAAATTTACTGGGGAAATTAGATAACTTTTGTAAAATCTATGTTTGGCTTTTGGTAAAATATAGATGGGAAAAAATTGTGATATTACAAAAATATCCTTGTTTTTAAAAAAATGACCAAACAGCCTTGCCCCCTTTATCTGTTTGTCTTTAGTTTTGTTTTTGCCTCTGTTTGTACTTGGCAATCAGTCTCCGTGAGTTCACATCATTTCAACAATGGGGGTGAAGGTTTCAATGGAGATATGAGTTTTTTTCCCTTCAGCTTACGTTCCTTCTTCTCTTCTCCTGAGTTCCAAAGCTGCTCCTTTGTCTAAGACTCTAGCGGTTATGGGTGATGGTTGTGGGGTAGAGGGTTCATAGCCTGAGATGGGGCTTCAGATTTTGAGCCCCTCAGTGTTCCAGCCCCAGGAGAGCAGGGGAACGAAGAGAATCAACGATGAAAGAGATGGGTACTTTTGTCTTTGAACAATATGCACAGTGACCAAATATGGAGATTTTCAACAATACCACCATGCAAAAGGGCAAATTTAGCCGGGAATATCAGTACAATTGCATAGGGAAATACGAATGAGTGCAATCACATTTACCTACCTAAGTCAGGAACACCTTCTGTCCAAACGATGCTTTCTCCCTTTCCCACTTCACATTTAGATATCAAACTCAACAGAATCCGTGAACCAAACGCCCCCTAGGTGTTCGCAAATATGAAAATGTAATTGACATATATCATTCAATACACGGGAAATATTTATTATGTTCCAGGACCACTCAATAATTTGGTGCTCTCTCTCACAACATTAATTTTTCTTTCCTTTTTTATTCTTGCTATTTTTCTTCTTTTTCAATTTTATCCTCTCATTTACACTAAGAGACTACCTAAAAAATGGTGGTCCCGGTCTACCATAAATTCTCTCCAATATACGGCACTAGACCGGCGGCCCCAGCGGCGATCACTGCCACATGGCGCGACGAGAGTAGTGGGATTGCCGTTGTCATGATAGCGATTGATTTGGTTGGTATGAATGGACGATCCAGCTTTCATCTTATAAGTGAAATGAGTCATCTTCACGAAAAAAATATTTCATGATCCCTTCTTATTTATTTTTCTCTCTCCTTTATTTTCTTTTCTCTATTTATCTCTCACTCTCTCTCTCTTTTCCCGCTCTATCTTCACACAGCAAGGATGTAACTTTATTATAAAAAATATTATTTATGTAACTTTATTTTTTTAAAATAATTGGACTTATTTTTAGATATTATTTACTCTTTTAAAAAGTATGGCTTACTTAACAAATACAACTTATTTGTTTTTCATTTTTATTAAATTGATAAGTCTTGTTATAGAAATACGACTATTATTGAATAGTAAAATATTCAAATTATAGATAATTTAAATAATTAATTTGATAATTTCAAAGATGGAACTCGAAAAACAAAAAGGAAGTAAATTAATCCATAACTAATATACGTCACTGTTACCACCTGTGTGGTAATTGAAAACCGAAGGCGGGGAAATTCCATTCCCAACAACATTGCATGTGATATGCTTTATAAAATATTATATTGAAAACGTTAACAAATTTAATATCACAATCAAAAGTAATAAAAAAAGCTTACTTAAGATCAACTAAATCTAGAGAAAATATAAATATATTAACTACAAATTTTTTTTTGGATACACTTATTAACTACAAATTATTACGAGTGGATTAGTGAGATTACAAAATGTTGAACTTGGACCTGATGGGTTAACTCGTCAAAACGATGCGGGTTAGTATTTCAATCCACCAACCCGAATAAGGGTTAAAATGGATTGTAGGCTGGGTAGGATGAGTCAATCCGCATGCAATTA